TTTGAGAACTGCATGGCGCTTACGAAATTCACTACTTCCATCAGTCACATATGAATCATCCCACTGACACGGGCACAACTTGGCAATGAGTGGGTTACTTTGTGCAGCTTGCGTTTACATTGGTTGTGAGGGGAAAATCTCCCTGCTAGTTCTAAGCGAAACAGAAACAGAGTGGAGAGTTTCAGAGCTGCTCTTCAAACACTGCACACCACGACCGACCGGTTTCGTCCGGATTTGAACTCGTCAGGTAGAGATAGCTTGACCCGAGAAACAAACGGGGCGAAAACAGAGGATGCACGCTGAGGACGAAGTTCAATGGACTCAAACCACTCAAGAAAAGAAGAAGGCGAGAGCAATAGGTAATTGGTGCAGATTCTTCAAGCTGGTCCGCACCACTTAGCCCAGGAACCTATACGTCAATGAGACAACCAAGGACAGTGTAGGCACTCTTATTCACAATAAAGAGCGTCGTCTGGCTCCACGGGGAAGAGGATTTCCGAGAACAGTTCAGTTGGCCTCCTGCTCCCTGACCTCTTTCTACGCAGGTTGTGCAGGCTAAGCTCTGGATGGTTAGTTTAGAGCCTTCATTAGAGGCTGAGGACAGAAACGTGATCACATCGATTAATCGTTTTTGCAATGCTGACTCGAATTTCTTGATAAACCCCACTGACCCAACTGCCCGAACAGACGCGGAAGGGAGATAGCATCCCAGTCAACTATGATGATTCGTTCATAGCGGCAATATATGAGGACAGTCACGCCAACTGTGTTATCCACAGGAGTATCGGCCTAACAACGTTATTCACAAACTTTCTGGCTTCTCGTCCGTCACCTCAGTGTGGACTGGAAATCCGTGATTAGAAAAGAGCAGGGCAGTTTTCATCAAAGACGAGGCTATGAAGACTATATTCTGACCTTACGACCGGTGCTAGAACAGCGACACATGTACCACAGACCGATGATAGCTGTTTCTCGCTTACAAAAGTGCGTTCGATACAGTCGATCACTCTGCTCTTCTCAACACACTTGTTCGGAAGGGTGTTCCTATCAACTATGTGAACACCTTTCGTACCCTGTACTCGAACACCACAGGTTGCGTCAGTCTATGGGGAATTGCCAGTAGCGTCTGCCAAAGTGTGCAACATTGTTGCCATTGAGTGTTCCCTTGCAGGATCGCCCGATGATGGCTTTCAAATGCTACCTGACGGAAAACAGACTGATCCAGATAAAGCACATGACATTGTCTTGCTGGTTAACGATGTTGGGATGGCTCAGTCAATATTGCTTAACCACTCTAGAGCAGTCCCATCTGTTGTGTCGGGCCCCGCGACTTCTTCCACACACTAACGGCAGCGAGAATACGAAACGAACCGCAACCGGAGTATATCTGTTTTAAGATGCACATGTGTTTTATGGGAGGCAAGATATAAAGGACAAATCAATGAAATTAAAACGTTCATCTCTTCAATGGAACTTCACTAGCGAACTTATGCAGGGCTGCACTGAATCACAGAGTAAAATCCACTTAAATGCGATAGATTTCGCATTTGGCTAGGGAAACTTGCACCAACGACTGTAAATCAGTCTCGATTAATTCGCTGCTCTAAAACCATCATTTATAATGCGGCTCTAAACTTCGAACTGTAAAATATTGTTGCAGGGCTAACAACTGCTTGGTGATCCCTTGACCGTTGGTAGCGAGGAACTCCAAGTGGTCGGTCAATCCACAAGCCTTGGTAGCTGCATCAGGAGCGAAAGATACAACGGTTTTCTTGAATGTGCACCATCTGTAGCGTCAGAAGGGGGTTGCTATCGGCCTGAAAGATCGTGTATACAAAGCTATAATGTGAGCTGTCCAACTCTATGGAAATGAGACTTGGCCCTTTCAGTGTGAGGATCTGAACTGCCTTCAAGTTTTTGATCATTGCTGGCACCAGCGTATCCGCAAAGATTATGTGCGTAGTCAAGTGCTAGGTGGGGATAGTCAGGAGAGATATTTAGGACAACAAATAGTTTTGAATAAGTTGCGTTGGTTTTGGCACATACTACGCATGCCCGGTCCCTTCCTACCGAGGAGAGCCTTTTTTGATTGCCGAATACTGGGTGGCGCAAAACACAAAATGGGCAAACACTGATTTAACAAAGGGAAATAAATTCACTGAAAAACTGGATGCCGTTAGTCCGTCTCGCCCATGAGGCTGGATTCCACGTGACCGCCTTGTGCTTGGCTCGAGAAGTTGTAGGTTATGACTCTGCCGTCCCATAGTCGGATTACATGCTTAACTTATGTCCGATGCTGTCATCTGTGGAGTAATCGCTGATTATGACGAGGGAAGTAAAAGCCGTAAGGAAGCTGTCTCGTCAACGCCGCCTTATCTTTGCACGACTGCCAGCTGTTTGTGGCGCCATGTTTCTGCCTTGCCCTTGAACGTTTGCTTTGGGTGTTTAAGTTTTACGTCAGGTTCCGGGTTCTCTCTCGTTTAATATTTCCATTCATTATTGCGTTATGGTTGTACCGCAACGAAGTATCATTACAAGTCGTTTATGTACTGCTGTTGTTGATGATGATGATGAGCGAGATGGGACAGTGTTATTCAGTTACCGCGTGTACTACTCTCGCTGTGCGAGGAAGGTTGGGATAACACGGAACGTCGCTCGCTCCATCCATTCAACACAACGGACATGCCGGAGTGTGCAGCGTTCCGTTGCGCTGGTTCCAAAAGAGAACAATGTAGTGTGCGTAACACAGGCATTCAAGCAGTTGAGATAAGCCAATCAGAAATGCACTTCAAGCGATAGAAGGTTAAGTGCTCTCTTGGATCATATCACAATAAATGATGATCCACCGAATCTGGAAAAAATCACATTTGTTGACTCCACTCTGCGGTGAAGGCATCTCGGCAGACCAGTCAGCAAACAATCAAAAGTAGGGGATTAAATTCTACGAATATCCGTCGGTTTAGTAAAAGCGCTGCCATACGACGCGGTCAATAAATCTTACAGCGGTGCCGAAACTGGACGCGAAATCATGAACAATACACTATGGTGAACGCATTAGCCAAAAACTGTTTGGGAAAGTTGAATCAGAAGTGAGTGACGTAAGAAACGCTATGAAACATTTTAGGGAATGTACGTGTGCAGAACAGACCAGTATCGTATTACTGGGTTATCGCTTCTGTCAAATTCCAACCATACGCTTAAGCGAGCTTCACAGGGAGCACTTGTGCGATGGAAACGAAGACATTGGAAAAATGTGCAGACCGTTGTCTGGGAATGTATCGGCTGGCAAACCGGTAAGGACAGTTAGGTCAAGATGTTTTGACTGGATCGAGTAAACATCATATATCTCAAAAATATAAACGAACACGTATTCGTAGTCTGTAATACTAGAAAGAACAGCACAAAATCACGGATTCGCAAGTCATTAAAATAGTACACTTTGTAGCTGAAAGCAAAAAAGCCTCGGATCAATTGCGGGAGAGGTGGCTATGTAGCAGCAATATCAAGTAAATCACACGATGGCGGGCGTTTCAAACCAGGGAGTGGAAAACTGATTCAGGGCTCACAACAGCAGTTCAGCCCCCAAGCACAGTTTGCCACTTGGTAGTCACAAGTTTCTTGTGTTTCAACTGGGCAAGTGATCACCACATAGACATGATAGGCCACAAAGTGAAAGAGCGACAACGTTTTGTGTTGCGGCTCGGTCGAACTCGTAGCGTGGGTTGCACAACTAAGCTCCATATCATGTGGGAAAACAGTCCGACACGAGCAAGGTGGAGCTACCACTACAAACATCATCATTATTATAGACGTAAGTTAAAGGTTGGAAAGATCTCATTTATTGTGCCGAAATAACAGAAAGGAACAAAAAGGCGTAAAACAGGCATGTCAGCTGAGCCACCAGTAACGGATGGATATCGTACCGGAAAGCTAGCAGCCGGTTATTGTGCCGCTAAAAAATGAGATCGTGGTTGAAGAGGAGGCTAAGCGGGAGGGACAAAAAAACTGTGGGGTGACCGGTTTCGGGACCAGCTTATTCACGCGGTATACCGTCCCATTAATGATTCATAAGCTGCTCCAGTGACCCCAATAGTGCACACTCTTCTTTTAAACTGGGTCGCATTTCGGTGCCCGAGGATTTAGACGATCCCTCAATTTGCTACATGTAGATGTTAGGTATGTAGGTATCCTGAGCTAGATCCTCCGGCCCCGTTGAATCCGTATCCGAGTGTAGTAAGATTGCATTTACCTCGTCCGATACAGGAAGTCTCGAAAGAGCATCTATGTTAGCGCGTCGCGTACCCGCCCGGTACCCGCAGGTGAAAACTTACTCCTGTAGTTGCAATTGTCATCTTGTGACTTGGCCCTCTGGGGAACGGAAGGTCCGAAGCCACTGCAGAGATTGGTGTTCATTTCGAACAAGGAATGCTTTCCCCAGCAAATACGGAAGAAAATACTTCGAGAAATGCACCAGAGTCAACATCCCACATCTTGCTGTGCTATACCTGCGCTCCCGTTTGTCCAGTTGGCGGCTAGCATAAGCGGTTGCAGTCACCGCAGCTGGTGTTTTCTGAAATAGAACGGTATCAATCGCCTCATCTCTGGCGCCCGTAACCAGTACGAAAAGCCCTGTTCGCTTGGAGGTATCCGGGAGACCCAGAAGTGGTGGTTATGTAGGTCGTCTAAAAGCGCTGAAACACTCATCCGTCCAAGCAAACCTCCGTCTTATCACGGTTAAACGATGCAAGGGTGCTCAAAGTGAGGAAAAGTTGTCAATAAATCTCCGATAGTAAGATGTCAACCACCAAAAAGCCACGGAGTTCCTCAACTGTTCGTAATTCTGACTAGCATTTTATCCGTTCACATTTGTCTGGATCGGTTTTGATGTCATCTGGTGTTATCACGTTTCCAAACATGACCTAGGTAAATAGAACTAGGAAATGGAGTGGTAAACAGTTGCGAGTGTGCAACTTGAAACGGCATAATGAACTGCGACTTACGAAGTATTTTCCGATAGTATGAACGCACACTATCATCCCAAGACGATTGGAAGAACGCCAGACCAGCGGGAGTCAATTCGGACTCGAAGCGACGATAAAACTCCAGGGTGTTGAATTGGCGCTGAACGCGTAATTCCCTGTGGAAGAGGGATTAAAAAACACAGGAGCGTTGGCTTAGAACAAACGAAAAGGTGGGAAATGCGAACATTCGGGCTGACGTGAGCGAAAATCATGGGGCGACTAATAGTCGGCGTCACGACAGGCGTGAAACAGGATCAAGCTATAGTTGGATAATGACAAAAATAAACCAGACAACGACTGTTCTCCAAGTGCCAGGCTGAATTTATGAAGGTAAAGTATCTCACAAAACAAAAAGTTCGTCGAAAGGTTCGCTCGCAGAAGTAAACGATGATTACAATAAGTGGAAAACCGAATCAACAATGTGGACAAAGAGAGAAATGATTTCATATCAGCTGCAAAGACCACCAAAATACAAGTTGTTTGTAAGTGATTCCAGATGGTCAAGTATGGACTCCGGCCGATAGTACGAAATGAAGAGAGTAGAACAAAGGTTTTTGATGATTGAAGTGTGGTGTACACGGGTACCAATGAAACACAGAAGGAGTAAAATACAGGGCAAATTTTATGGGTAAAATATGAGTACGTCCCAGAAAAGGGCGAAAGACGGATGCCTTGTGTTTAAAAGTGATTATCGACCAGCCACAGGTCAACACGCGTGTAGGGAATTAGCTTCTATTTTTCACTTCGTCCGATTGCATATTTCGGTGTAACAGTTGCCAGCTGTAGATGAGTGAAGACTGCCGATAACGGTACTGACGGGGGGGGGCACGAAATGTGTACATGCGCTAACCACCGCCTCCTCATTGTGCTTTTCAGACGGAAACCAGATAAAAGATACAGAATAGCAAAATTGATGACACACATACGACCACCAACTTCCACTGCGCAATGCCGCAAAAGCGCCATATGGCCACATCAGTGAGCGAAAAACATAATCTGCCGCATTATCAAGCCATCTCCATGTATCACGCAATAACAGAGAGATAACAGTGTGTTAAACAACGGCACAGAGTAGAAAGAGGCATTATGGTCGCTGTTATTGGGTGGGTCGGGAGTATGGATACTACGTACTATACGCAATAGGAGACCCCTTGCATTGACTATTGACACATCGTTGGTGAGAAGGAGCAAGACGGAACTTTCCGAGAAGGTTCGATGCAGCCATACTCAGGCGGTTACCCACCAGATCCGGAAAAGCGCAGAAATGAAACCATTTCAATCTACTTGGCTCCATTAGTAGAGCACATTCGCCGAACGATACTAGATTCGAGCAAAATGGCTGCATGAATCGCAACCCAAATGATGAGAGTACTAGGTTGCTGTGCCCACATTATAGTGGCAAGATTCTTGTAAAGATAAATCACATATGAATAAGGCGAACAGCCACCTATGTACGAATCCAACCTGGAGTCTCGCCATAATTGAACTAAAGTAGCATTTTAAAGTCAGGAAATGTGAGTAAAAACGAGCGATAACTCAAAACGATTGGTGTAACTTTATACAGAAATGGGATGAGAAACGCAACGGCTGAGGTGTAAGCAGTGGAGCTATCACGTCACAAGTCAGTGTCATTTCAAATTGCACATTATGGATGGAAAAATTACAATCATGTCCGAAGTGGAAGGTCGCATGCAAATTCACCAACAAGCTGCTTTCTAGCCCTTCGGAAAGCATTTGTTTCTAATAATTTGGTATTTGTCTACTTAAGCTCGTGGATAAGCAAATACAGAGTTCGGTAGGAGAAACCAGCCCAGATGCAGGTTAGAATCATCACTAAAGCGAAGCATCAGTTCAAATGGCTGATGTACTGCTGTTGATGATGATGATGATGATGATGAACGAGAAGACATCTGAGACAGTTCAAGCATAGTTGAATATATCAAAACTTTGGAGCAATATAGTGATCGTCATTCAGATCGAAGCACCTCCGTTGGGCAATTCGTTTTAAAGTGCCTGTAAAACATTGAACGGAAGATTGGTTGGATGTCTAAACATAGACTAGAGGTGTTGGTAAGCATACAGTAGAACATAGGAGAGTCAAGAGGAAAAGCTGAATACTGGATTATAGATCAAGTATAAAGGAATTCTGTACAACTCTTTGGAAATATGGTGAAAAACATTAAAATAGTCAGACGTGAATATCGTTATCATCCTCATGTAACATTTAAAATACCTGACTCACGGTATTGCATGACTCACAAATGTGACAGGTCATCGTAAGTGTGCACTCGTGCGCTGAATCGAATAGTGGTAAAATATAAATCTAACAATGTTTTAAACTGCTGCACAAATGTTGCCCCCAATATAGGTTCAGGAAAACTGTTCCAAATATTTACCATTCTCCGTTCGAAGCACAGTGGGTGGGGAACTCGCTTCACATCCGGCATGACAAGTTTATATCTGTGTCCGCGTGTGCTGCATGGCCCTCGTAAGCGCAGCATTGGCCTCAGCATGGGGAAGTTACCGAGATGTAGAATACGGTAGGTCATAATGAGATGGACTCGCACCCGACGGTAGGAAAAGGTGTAGAGTCCTACTTTCTCTCACCGGTTTTCATACCCCAAGCCACGTAAAATCGGGATCAGCATGGTAGCAACGTGTTGGACCCGTTCGATCTTTTGTGGCTCGCCTCAGATAATCGGAAAGTAGGCGAGCGAACCGTACTCTAGCATTGGTCTAATGATGGAATAGAAGAGGTTAGTGGCAACCTCTTCAGACCATGTGTCGAAGCTGGATCTGAGCGACCAAAGCATGCGCAGTCCGTTACCATATAGCCTGTTCGTGTTGTTCACGGAATGAAATTCGTAACGCAAGAGTATACCTAGATTCTTCACGGAGCATGTGGGATATAGCGGTTGGCCACCAAGGGTGTAAGTTCGGCCGTCAGTACCCTTCCCCAGGCTCATAAATAGAAACTTGGCTGGGTTGACCGGGAGAATAACTTCTGCAGACCATGCGGATAGGCGGTTGACGTCTTGCTGAAGTACGCCACAGTCATCAGGAGCGTCAATTTCTCTCCTAATCTTCATGTCATCCGCAAACAAGGCACACCACGACCGGAGAACCTGAGGTAGATCGTTGGTGTGAATCAAGAACACAGTGGGTCTCACCACAGTGCCTTGAGGCACCCCACTTGTACAGGGATACCAGTAAGATAGATGGTCGTCGACCTGAACCCTCCACTTTCGTCCTACGAGAAAGTCGCGGATCCACCGGTGCAGTGAGTCATCGACACTACACATCCTGAGTTTGTGTAGAAGAATCTCATGGCTGACCTTGTCGAACGCTTTACTGAAATCCCTGAATATCACGTCGACAGACTTCCCCTTGCTTATTGCCTCCAACCACTCATGCCTCGTCACAAGCAAGTTTGTAATGCATGAGCGGCTTTGCATAAAACCGTGTTGTGCGGACATCAGGACCTCGTTTGACTGTATCAACTGCAGCAATCCCTTTTTTACGATTTGTTCCGCAACCTTTGCCAAAATAGGTGTCAGACAAAATGGCCTGTAGTTGTCTACTTTGTTTGGATCGCCGCCTTTCGTAATAGGCTTCACCACCGGAATTTTCCAGACAATCCGCAACGAACATTCGGACAGCGACCTGTTATAAAGATCAGTCAGGACAGGAGAGATGGTAATGGAAAGTGACATGAGAAATAGTGGATGAAGCCCATCAGGTCCGACAGGTTTAGTGTCGTCAAGATTGGCGCGATTAGTTGACATACCTCTACAACGCTGCAATCCAGGCTGTCGAGTTCGGCAAAAGCGTTACACGTCGAAGTCGA